GCAGTAATGCTGGGTCAGAAAGATATCTCACAGGGCAGTGGGAATTTTGCCAAACCTCAGGAGTGTTGGATCCCTACAGGGCTCTTTCCACCTCAAGAGCGATGGTCCTCCAGGTAACACAAATGCTAAGGATGGCCTCCTTGCACTTTTAAAGGGAGGCAGAAAGGTAGCACAACTGGATCTGGAGTCAGCTCAAATTCAGCTTCTGACACTTATTAGCTGTGTGACCTTAGACGAATTACTTAACTTCTGTTTGCCTCAGTTTCCTCAAATGTAAAATGGGGATAATAGCACCTACCTACCAAGGTTGTTGTGAGGATCAAATGAGATGATATTTGTAAAGCTCTTAGCATGGTGTCTGCCTCATAGTAGATGTTACAGAAATGCTAGCTATCATCATCATCATTATTATACTAATCAAATTATTATTACAGTAATATGTAACACATTGTAACAATGTTATATATTATAACAATTATATTACTAATATAATTAATTATATTAGTAATGAATCAAGCCAGTCTATGTAAAACAGATATTACCATATCCCACCCTTTGGTGACAAATGTCTTCCAAATCCTTCAGAGCACTCACACAACTTAACTGGCCTTTGAGATCTGGGAAGCCTAGTAAAGGCAGCACTGGAAGGGGAATTTATTACAATTTTTTTTTAAAAAGAGAAAAATATCAAACAATATAAAAGTCTTTTTAAAAGTACAGTCTGTGTGGTGGAGGCTGATATCAATCAAAATTTTTTAAGCACCTATTATGTGCCAAGCACTGGACTAAGTGCTATTAGGCACAGTTCACAGTGGGTCTTCTAACCCCAAGCAGTGAGGATAAATAGGCATCATATCAGGAACACCAGGGCCACAGAATCAACAATGACATCTGTAACAGTCACTGAGTCTCATCATGGGTCAGGGTCAGCATCTGTAGCAAAGGAGCTAAGAGTCCCAACATGGAGATAACATCAAATCTTTTCCCCTTTTGAGTCCTTCACTATAATAGGCTCTTATAGTGACTTTGTCCACCTGAAAAATATCTCTTCACAGGGTAGCTCGGTGGCGCAGTGGATAGAGTACCAGCCCTGAAGTCAGGAGGACCTGAGTTCAAATGTGGCCTCAGACCAAACACTTGACACTTACTAGCTGTGTGACCCTGGGCAAGTCACTTAACCCCAATTACCTTAAAAAAAATTAAAAAAAAAAAAAGAATATCTCTTCACAGAGGAACCAAAGAGGGTTAGAATCATCCTTCAGATGTGAGGGTGGCTTTACAAATGTCATCATTCGTACTAGCCTTTATTGCTGTTTTTACTTTCTGTACTTATTTAAAGTACCTTTTTGTTGAATATGGGTTTGATGGGTTTCAAATTATAAGCAGACAAAAACTGAGTTGTAACGTGAGTCTTATTGGACCTATTTTGTTATTTGGGGTTTAGATTGAATATTAATAGCAAGATGAATGGCAAGGAAAAGGAATCTCCCCTATGGAGAGGGAATACATTTAATTTAATGTTATTTTCTCAGGTAGGCTTCTGGATACATTCACCATGGACTATTAATTTAGGGAACACAAGAGTGGTTATTCCATGTGGGCAATTTGTTGTTGTTGGTGGTGGTTGTGGTCATAATGGTCCTTCGTTCTCAAAGAGGATCAATGACATCACCAGGGTGATGTCTTGACTTGCTTGTGAATTGGATTTAAGTGAGGCAAAGCCGCTCAAAGTCATCAGCCTCACTCTCTCCTCCAGAATCACTCAAGTCCACTGGCACATTCAGAATACCATGAAACTCATTGAGGAAATGAACTAGCAATTGCTGGGTCACACCAATATTTGGGAGGTTACAGAGGAAAGGTGGGGTGTTCCCAGGTGTGGCATTATAGCGAAAACTACAAAGGGGAAGTTGAATTTTAAACAATGTGTTTTTTAAATAAAGCTGTTTTTCTGTTGCTTTGTGGATGGTGCGTTGAAATGTTTTTGAGTTAGAATGAGACATGGGTAGTCCCGTCCTGAGACATTGTTTTGAAGGTACAGACCCTTCAGGATGGAGTGCTGGATGTGGGAAATAAATGAATATGATTGAATAAGGTTAGAGATACCAATATTGTCAAAGATGGGAGTCACTCCACCACGACTCCCATAAAGGAAGTAACTCCAATATACCCAAGGAATGGGAAGGATATTCAATACGGGCAGTTGACATGTAGGAGCTGGTGAGGTAATACTGGTGGGATGCTGGTTCTGGCCAAGAAACAATACTATTCCCAAGGAAATACCACTGAGAATAGGGCAATGAACTAATAAATATCAAACTAGACCAGATGTTAAAAGAATAGGCTATTAGACAGTTACATTGGTCAAAGTAGATGGTCTGTTCTGAGCACTATTTTTGTATGGCTCATGAACTGCTTTGGTAGTTAGATTTAAAGAAAGACTATTCTTTTGAGAGTGTGCCAGAGATGCCCCCACAAAAAACACTCTTTTGAATTTCTGAGTAGGTGGCACCAGGGCAGACTTTGGAATTGACCCAAAGTGGAACTAGTCTACTCCACTGAGTGGACCCCAAGATGAGAAGCAGCTGGTGATAGAAAGATGTTGGAAGATTCCTATTGTGTCAAGGCAGTACCAATAGGGGTATATAATGTGGGAATTTTAGGGGAGAAGTAGCCACTCCCTCTCTGAATTAGTCACAGATGAAAGGAAATCCAGGCATAGTGTGACTTGCACTCAAGATTATGGGAGAGCAGATTTCAAAGAATTTAGAAAAAGCATTGGTAGGATCCCAGAGACTAAAATTCTCAAGGGAAAGTTAGCCTAGGAGGGATGGAAAGCTCATTGATGTTCTCTTGCAAAGATGGATAAAAACAGTAGTTGTCTAAAGAGACCACTTTAGATTATATAATAAATGAGATCAAACTGAAATAAGGTTCACAAAATACTTTGCAAACTTGAAAGCCCTATATAAATGAAAGCTATTAATAATACATATGCAGGTGCTGGGAGCAAGGGCAGGTAATGAAGGATGAATGAATGCACAGAGATGGGTGTGCAAGAGTTCAGAATGAGTTGATGCTGGCGAAGAAGGCCAAGCACAATGATTTGACTTTGTTATAGCTAGATTGGGGGAAAGAGGTCAGAAAAGGGACCCACTGCTTGGGAGAGATGGAATGGCAACAGGAAGGAAGCAGAGAAGCTTATGCTCTGGCTTTCCTTTTCTTCTCTCTGCCACGGAGATTGATTTCTGCCCCAAAAGGGGCAGGACAGAAGTGGCTCACAGGAAGATGACACCACATGTAAATGGAGACATTGCAAGAGACGTTGACGAATTCAAGTCAACTGGCCCAAATGAACCAATTTCCTTGGGCGCCGATGTGATTGGTGAGATAGAGATCTTTTGAAAGATGGTGAACAGGAGAGAGGCTGAAGGACTAGAGAACAAATATTTGTTTTTTAAAATGGAAAGATAATGGAGACCACAAATGATAGGCCAGTGAGTTTGACTTTGATTCCTAGCAAAATTCCCCAAGATATTATTAAAGGGATGACTAGTAAATATCAATAAATGGAAGTGGTGATCACAAACAGCCTTGGCGTGGCTTCAACAATAGCAGGTCATGCCAGCCTACCCTCATTTCTTTCCTTGACAGGTTTTTTGGACTGGTAGAGCAGGAGAATGCTGAAGATATCATTTACCTATATTTTAGAAAAAATGTATGCCCCAAACTTATATTCTTGTGGTAAACATGGAGAGGTATGGGATAGCTACCATAATTATGGAGGCTTATGACCAATCGGTGGCAGCTAGGTAGGTGGTGCAGTGGATAAGAGTGCTGGACCTAGAATGAGGAAGACTCATCTTCCTAAGTTCAAATCTGGCCTCAGACACTTTTTAGCTGCATGACCCTAGCCAAGTCACTTAACCCTGTTTGCCTCAGTTTCCTCATCTATATAATGAGCTGGAGAATAAAACAGCAAACCACTTCAGTTCTTTGCCAAGAAAACCTTAAATTGAATCATGAAGAGTTGGACACAACTGAAAAACAGTTGAACATGACCAGCTGAGTGGCTGTGCCCAGAGAAGTCATTAATAGTTCAACGTTGCTTTGGAAGGTCTCCGGTAGAGCGCCTAGGGAATCTGTAGTAGATCCTACGCAGTTTAACATTTTTATTAATGACTTCAATAAAAGCATAGATAACATGCTTGTGAAATTTGTACCTTATGGGGCTTTAGCTGCATTGATAATTACATTTTGCTTACATGAAGTCCTCTTACTAATTCATTTTGGTGTATACCAAAATCCTTCTCTAAAAGTCCTTCTCTGATGCCTCGTCATGTTGTAAAGGTGAGTCTGGGGTCTTAAAGGCTCTGTTTGCCAAAGCACAACCCCTAGTGAGTCCTGCCAGACCGGAGAGGCTTTGAGCACAGGCCTGGAAGTGAACTATCTTTAGGCTAAGGATCAGTCTTGCTAAGTCCACAGCCATTCATTGCCAGAAGGTTGGTTGCTAGAGGGTGAAAGTGGGGCTGGGCTCCAGCATTAGGGATGCAGTATCATGGTAGTTAGGGGTATGGCACCCCCCCATCTGGAAAAATCCGTGTAAAAATTTTGGTACTCCCTTCATATCAGAGAAGTCTGAATTTTTTCTTTTATGGAGTGTTTGCAGTACCTTATTGTAAAATTTGGGTTAAGTATTTGGTCATAGGCTCTGGGTCATCTATTGGCCTTTGCATGTCCTCTGTGGCTTCCACAAAACTCCCCCATGCTGACCCATAATATATCAAAACCATGATGGGGAAGGTCGTGAAGGGAAAGGGATAACTGTATTTGTACTATCACAAAGGCCAAGAAATTCTCCTGAAAAATTTCCTACAGGAGGGCAAACTTGAGTATAGAAAAAGGGCTTCAGAAACCAGGAATGGGCTTCCAAAAAGGAGCCATTAGCCATGCAAATCAGTGCCTAACATTCAATAAGAGAAGAGACTTTACCAAAGGTGCTCACTTCATCTGTGGCCTGTTTAATTTTTAGTCAGATATTAAACATTTATAAATTTTAATACATCAAAACAAGTACGTGCGAAGTTACAAATCTATAAAATGTCCTCACATTGCTAAGTGCATGCAAATTTCAAAGACCACTTTCCCCTGTGCCTTGTGGACTCGTGCAGGAGTCCATTCAGCACATGGTGCTGAAAGCCTCAGGATACTTTTTTTCATGGAAGAGGGATTTGGAACCTTGGAAAGACACATAATACACTGGGCACTACTCTGGGTGATAATTGCTCTGAGCAGAATTTCTAGTTTATCACATCCAATATTTACTGATTACAAAGACTAACCTTTACATTGCAAGCCAATCACATTGCAGAATAGTGACGATGAAAACCTAATAATTTATTCTGTGAGAACAACTTTTTTTACAACTCAAAAATCATTTAGACAGATCATCTCCCTGTCTTCTCCCCCCTCTCCCACCCTTTTCTGAGATACTGTTTTTGGGGACTGGATTAAAATTTTCAAAAAGGCTAATTTCTTCCAATTCTACCATCTGAAGGATTCTTAAAATCTGACTTTTAAGTATTCATCCAGTATAGTTGCTGCTTTATCTTGAGACAGGAAACAAAAAAGCTACAAGTGCTTCTTCTGTTTATAAATCCACCAAACTGTCTCCTTAAATCCTAAAAGACAAAGCACACTTTAACCACTTGCTGGTTCCTCTGGGCTAATCAACCCCTGCCTTAACCCTGTCAATGCTGCCTTCTCTGTGGGCTTGCAGGCAAATCGACCCATCCAACGTGCTGCCGGCCTTTGTTATTGGCTAGCATTGGAGAGGGCTTCCTTAGTCATCTGGGAGTATCTGCTTTGCACTTTCATGTTCTTGGGTGGGATGCACTGGTAGACATGGGTTATACTGAGTTTGAACAATATGTACATACCAAAATGGTCTGAGATGACGACAAAGCTCACCCAAAGTAACACTACTTTCCAAATTATGGGTTACCCAGAACAGTCTCCTTAGCGCAGGACACAGCTCACACGATGATGCTCATTCCATCGCTGACAGATAGACCGGCCCCTGGGCCGGATATACTTTTGGTGCAGCCTCTGCTGAGTGTGTCCCATTATAAAATCCAAGAGAGTAGTCATAGTACTGCGTAGCAATAGCTGCGCCTGGTTTGGCAGCTAGAGCCCGGACCCACGTGGTTGGGTGATTTCTATGGTTTGCCTAGACAGTCTCCAGTCTTTTTCCAAATGATGAAAATTGTTTGAAGAGGAAAATGCATCAGGGTCAATTGAAATGTATGAATGAGTTCCCTAAAAACATCTAACTGGCTATGATATCACAGCTGATAAGACAAAGAAGAAATGGGGCTTTGTAACTAGTGTGAGTTTGCTACTTCCTTATCTACTAATTTAATGAACTTCAAGCAGGGGGAGGAACATTTAGGTGACGTTTCAGCAAGCAAAAGGACCCATGGTTGTGTCTATTCAGAAAATAGGTTTTGAAATAATTTCTATTTTGGCCTCAAGTTGCTACACTACTGAAGTCTCTCGATGGACCAGAAGTTACCCAGTGATCTCCTCCCTTGGAAGGGACACTGTCAAAGGCAGCATTGATCTGACAGATGCATGATCAAAATGGTTTGGAGGGAGAGCGGTGGCCAGGCATCTGGAATCTACTGTACATTCCCCAGGGCTCATGAGTGATAAGGGCCTTAACTTATGGGTGACAGACAAACATAGAAATGAAAAACTGCTGCTATTTGGGCTGCCCTTGCAGACTGAAGGATTTCCTTCTCTGCAAAGATTAAGAGAATAAACATTAAGAGAGTAAACATTGGAAGGCTTTTTAGCTCACAATCAGGAAAATAAGGAAGCTGAGGAAGAGAAGGGTCACTGGCGGGGCAGAGAAGAATGCCATGTTGTAGTAGTAGCCTTGCTGGGCAGCGCGATATTCATTCTGATACTGCGTGATGCACATCTGCTCAACCACGCGCTCCATAATCTTGATATCAGTTTCCGTGAAGTTCTCCCCCTTGGTGGTGGTGGTGGTGGTGTGTTGCTTCACTGTGATGTTGACGCAGTCGTGCACAAAATTGTTCTGGTTGCTGTACTGGTCAATGGGCCGGTACATGACTTGGTTGGGGTAGCGGTACTGATTTTCACGATAGTAGCGGTCTTCATAGTCATTGCCAAAGTGTATGACGGGCCTGCTCATGGCACTGCCCAGCATGTAGCCACCAAGCCCTCCCACAACTGCCCCAGCAGCAGCTGCCCCAGCCACGTGTTTTAGGTTGGTTTTGGGTTTATCTGGTTTCCACTTGTTGCTACCACTCTGACCCCAGTTAGATCCACCATGCGGCTGACCCCAGTTGGAACCCCCAGGATGGGGCTGACCCCAACTGGAACCCCCAGGATGGGGCTGACCCCAATTGGTGCCACCTCCCTGAGGGTGCCCCCAGCCAGGGTATCGGTTGCCTCCGGGACTACCAGGCTGGCCTGGGTAGCGGCTGCTTCCTCCACTGTTCCATCCCCCTCCGGGTCTTGGCTTTGGTTTCTTACAGAGGCCTACATCACTCCATGTCACAATGAAGAGAGCCAAGATCCAGTGGATTTTTCCCATAGTAGCTGATCTAAAAAAAAAAAAAAAAGACAAAAATTCTGGTTTTATTTAGAAACCACTAAAGGAAAAGGAGGGGAAAAAAGAAACACAATTAACACATATATATGTCATGTAAAATTTTTTAAAATTGTCATAATGTGATATCAGGAAGGAGTATGATGCTTCTACAAAAAAAAAATATCCAGCGAAGATTGACAACCTTAAATGTAACACGACGCATAAACTTTCTTTGATGTTCTTTTGGGAGAAACCCTTAAAAAGCGACACTTAACCTTGTTTGGACACCAGTCAGCTGAAGCCGTATGATCTAATCCAAGAAGAATTCAGGCCACCCTTCAGACAGCACTCCCTCTTCCCCAGTCATCCTCTTGAGGGCCAACCATTTCATTACCTTGTGTATCTGTGCCAGAGACTATGCCCTAGATGTTTTGATCTTTTCATCTCTGGCTCCTCTGCCCTGGGATCCTGCTCTCCTGATTGGTGATTGCCTCACCTGACCCACTGTGTCAGGCACCAGGAACTCCTTCCCTTCCACTTCCACAGTGGTACCTGGAAAGGATGTGTCGCTCGAGGCCCCCAGTCCCCCCCTTGCCATCCCACTAACTTCCCACATGCACCTCCCTCCATGTGTTGTCTCCTCTGTTAAGTAGAAGCTTCTCCAGGGCGGAGGTGGTCTGTTTTTGTACTTGATCCTTATTATCAGACCTAATAAATTTTCATTCATTCTCTCCACTTCTGTCTGCCCACCCTCACACAAGCTGTTCTCCACCTCTGCCTCCTGGAATCCCCAACTTCAAGATGCACCACTGGCTACACTAGGCCTTTCTTGAGATCCCCCAACTCACAAGCTGCTGGTGCCCTCCTCTCCCGCACCTGTCTCTGAGTCTCAGCACCCTGCACAAAGCCCTAGACACAGGAAGTACTCCATCAGTGATAGCTAACTGAGCTCTCCCTTCTCTCAATTTATTATTGTTATTATTACAATATCTACTAACAAGAAAGCAAGCAGGCTCCAATTCCATCGTCTGCCCAACATGTGCCAGGCTCAGTTTTGGGCACTGCAGATACAGGAACAAAAATGAAAGTCTCTGCTCTCCAAGCACTTCCATGCTAACAAAGGAAATAACACGTACCACATGAAATTGGGTCGCATGTAGAACAATCTTGTTTTCCAGCTAGATTGGGAGCTCCTTGAGGCTTACACTTATTTCGTAACCCTCAAAGGCTACAACACAGTTCTGGGCACGTTCCAGGTGATACACTGCTTGTTCCCAATTAAGTATATGCACTGACTGTGGCCTCAGAGCTTTTAAGAACACCAAACAGCATAGATCACATAATACCTAACTATGCATACGTACGGCTCCTGCTATTTAGGACATATCATGTGTATTTATATGTATATCTGTGTATGCATGCATGTATGACATTTGTATGTATACATCCATCCATCCATACATACACACAGACAGCTAGGTGGTACAGTGGATAGAGCATCGGGCCTGGAGTCAGGAAGACTCATCTTCCCGAGTTCAAATCTGGCCTCAGGCACTAACTAGTTGTATGACCCTGAGCAAGTCACTTAACTCTGCCTCAGTTTCTTCATCTGTAAAATGATCTGAAGGAAATGGTAAAGTACTCCAGTACTTTTGCCAAGAAAACCCCAAATGGGGTCACAAAGAGTCAGACATGACTGAAAACAACTGAACAGCAACAATATATACTCAAATATATAAGTATATAGATATATGTACATATATATACAGCATGTACTTATATAGTATATTGTACATGTTATACAAGTATGTGTAATATAGAGTGTATGTATTACATATACACACATATATACACATACTATTATCTATAACCAAACTACATGGACCACACATGTATGTGCATATATATGCACGTTTACACACATGTGATATGTGTATATGTATACATACAGACACATACAATATCTAATACATACATATATATGCTTATATACTATATATAGTGTATATTTTGTTGCTTAATTATTTTTAAGTCATGTCCAATTCTTTGTGACCCCATTTTGGGGGGTTTTCTTGGCAAAGAGACTGGAGTGGTTTGCCATTTTCTTTTCTAGCTCATTTTACAGATGAGGGACTGAGGCAAACCGGGTTCGGTGACTTGCCCAGGGTCACAGAGGTAGTCAGTATCTGAGGCCAGATTTGAACTCAGGAAGATGAGTCTTCCTGACTCTAGGCCTGGTGTTCTATCCACTGTGCCTCCTAGCTGTCCATTATAGTATATATACTGTATTATATGGTATGTATACTTATAAAACATATAAGCATATATACTATATGTATATGTGTGTATATATACACACACACACTATATATACACACAATAGCATGGATTACATATATAATTTTGTATATAAACATATATGTATATATTACATATTGTATGAACAAACATACAATATGTAACCATTGTGTGTATACACACACTATATATATAATATATACATCTGGTTCCAGTTATGTAGGACACATTATGTGTTTTTATATGTATGTGTGTGTCTACAGGTTCAGAGCTGTACTTTCATCAGTGTGGCATACTCCTCAGTGCAGAAAATCTTTCCACCACTGTAGAACAGCCAATCCCCAGAGGGTGCTGATACTCTAGTCTAGAACATGACAGAGGAAAGTTCTGTCCCCAGGACTTTCTGACTTCAAAGGCAGCCCATCATTATGCCATCCTGCCCCTCATGGATAAAAAGAAGTTTCCTTATTTCTGGAGCAAATGATGAAGTCTTAACTCTCCTGACCTTTGGCTGGAGGGGGGATGAGAGTGGGGCAGTAATGGAATCCCTACTTTCTTGACTCCCCAGCCCCATCTTGCCATAGAGCTATTGGAAACTGGGCTCTCATTCCCTTGTTTCTTATCTCTACCAGGCTCCCCAGGAAGAGAGAGAAGGAAAAGTCCCACTACAAGACTTGAGAAAGTTCAATTCAATAAAATGAACATTCATTACCATTTAGTGCAAAGCATTAATTGCAGAATACAAAGCCCCAAATGGAAGAGTCTGCCCTCAAGGGGTTTACATTCTCCTTACATTTCCTATTTCAGTCGAGGGAATCAATCTCCCTCCAGTCACCCAACTTCACAACCATGAAGCCATCTTCAGTTCTCCAGCCTCTCCATATCCCATCAGTTGCCCTATTTTGCTGATTCTACTTGGGCAACATCTCTTGTTCATGGCCCTGTTACCTTTTACAGAGGTGAGCCTCCTAATTAAGACTCTGCCTCCAGCCTGTCCCCTCCACCATTCATCCTCCACACAGCTTCCTACTGATTCTCTGTTTGACACTGAAAACCCATCACAGTCTGGCTCCAAACTATCTTATAGATTGACTTCATATGACTCCCTCTGACTCACTCAACATTCCAGTCAAACTGGTCAACTTTTCCCTCTACATGAAACTCCTTCTCTTACCTTTGTGTAAACTGCCTTCCATGCTTGGAATTGTCTCTCTTCCCACCTGTGCTCCATGGCATCCCTAGCTCCCTTCCAGGTTCAGCCCAAATGCCACCTCCTACATGAAGCCCTCCCTGATATTTCCGATCCCATATCTTTCCCTCCCAATACTTAACTGTGTCCTTGTGAGCAGGGGCTGCTTTTAATTTCTCTTTATCCTCAATGACTAGAACAGTGCCTGATATGTTAAGAATGGAAAAACTCTGAGAGACAGAGTTTCTGGGTAATTGATAATCAATTTATTAATTAGGCTATCTAACAATCAATAAATTGATGATCAGTGGTTTCTCTCTAACCAAAGACCCCAAGGAAGGCTCTGAAACACCTTGAATTGGGTGTGTACCTTCTGACAGGGAACTCCCCTGACAAGTGAAACTCAATCTTGATTGGTGGACATTTACCGAGGAGATGGGCTAAAAGTCTTCAGCTCCTCCTGCCAAGACCATGACTTGATCATGAAACTCCGCTGCCTCCAGCAATCTGGACAGGGGAATCCATCTCCAACCCAGATCACTCTGGTTGGTTTTCTGCTTCATGAACTGGGTCACCCTACACTCTAATGGAGGGGTACAAGGGCAGGGGCTGCTTTCCCCAGGATGAGAACTCACTCAGACCAGATTCTATTTATACTCCAAACAGAAGTTGGGTCTCCTAGTTGGACGTGGTCTTGCTCACGATTGAAGAGCGTGTTCCTTGAGTGTAGAGGTAAACTCTTCAACTAGTCATGTCCTTCGGAGATAAGAGCTGGGCCTCATTGAGGAAATTGAGAAGAAAAGCCTGGATCCCAATTTAATAATTGGTTATTAATATAATGATATAATAATTTCTCTAATAATTACCTACATGGTAGGTAATTAAGAAATGCTTGCCGAATTGAATGCCACTGAGGAAATATAATATTTACACAGAGAAAGACAAAGTAACTGAGTAGAGAAAGAAAACTATCAAGGGAAAGATCACAAATGGCTTCACATAGAAAGTGGCATTTGAACTGAACCTTAAAGGAAATGAGGAATTCTAAAAAGCAGAAGTGAGGAGGGAGTGATGTAGTCATAAGACAGCTGTAGGCAGGGTGTGCTGGTAAATGTTTAACAACCAGCTCTCCAGGAGAAAAAAAATGTACTCATGACACATTTTTAAGCTTAATCTGTAGTATTGCTTTGTTCATCACTTTCCTAGGTCTAGACAATCAACAAAATAATAATTCAAGCCTTGATTTGTAGCTGACTTCCCAGGTGTAAATGCTCACGCTGAAAATTTAACAATTCGTTCTCTCCAGCCATGTTGGAGCTGGCTCCAGCACAGCCTTGCTTATGTCTATACCCCATAAGAGGATCTGGAGGTCCTGGGCCTCTGGTCACACCAACCCATAAAGCTGGGTCAAGAACACCACTGGTTGAAGGGACCTGAACCACTGAAGGAGCCTGTAGGAGTTCTTAAAGATAGGCCTCCTCACCCATACAGGAATGCCCAATATTCTCTTTGGATACCTATTTACC